TTTTTACCTGCTAGATCTCCATGGTAACTGATGCTGTGGAGTTAACCTGGTCGGGAGCAGGTTATGCTCAGAATTTCTGATTTGAATTGGCTGCAAGAAGCATCTCCCTTTAACTAAATCGTTTCCTGACTTTTATTTACAAGCGATACAGATTCTCAGCTGGGGGAATGCGTTTTATCTGCAAACATGCTGAGTTGTGCGTTACTAATATCACTGAATGAAGCTGTGGAGTTACAGTATCACAAACTGTAAATATCACGTTGCCATGGGAACCTACATGCATTTAGTTGGTGATGCAGAAATCACATAAATATGGTTTTATGTTTGGCTCTGATTTGCTGCCAAGTCCGTTTCCACTGCTGGTACTGTAGCTGATAGAAAATGAATTATTCTACTGGTAATTATTACAGAGAATATTCAATCAATTACATTAATTTCGCTTTGATTTGGCAAAAAAATTAACTGATGTCCTGCATTATGGGACAGTGTCAGACCTAAATGCACTTCAAAACAAGATCTGTTTTAAATATATGAAGTTTAAAGTTTAACTTTAACGTGCAGCTGTCAGTTAGAAATAAGCAGCTGCATCGGTAAAATATTATATTGAAAGTTTTCTACCAGTTTGCAGTAGTTTAACATGTCGACTGAAGCAGCAGCAGACGATTGATTCATTTAGTGCAGAAGAAGAGTCACATTACTAGTTAAACGTCTCTTTTATGTCAACAGAGTCTGAAGCAGAAAGTCTGAGTTGACAAAGAAAGTTGATAATCACCTTTGTGATACCTGTAATCTCTGGCTGGGACTTTGGTTTTTGTTGAGCTGGCTTACACAAAGAAAGCCTGGCTATGCCAAACTTGCTTCGTAGTATACTCCTCAGGATTTAGTATAACCAAGCTAGGAGAGCTCGGAGACAGGGATGGCACAACACGCCCACAGAAGCATTAGTTGCATCAACACTACACACCAGCATAGCGAAAACACACAAAAGCACCTAAACAATATGACCTGAACTGACCTAAGCCCAGAGAGAGAGAGCAGAGTAACAGCTGATGAGAGGGACAGGAGGGTAGGTGGAGGTGGAACATAGTGAGGCAGGGGCTGGTGGAGGAATCCAGGCAGGTTGGAAACTGAAGTAGTAGGAAACCAAAATGAGCAGAAGCTTAACAAGGGCCAGGGTACAAACTAACTGGAGTGGTTTATGGTTCAGCATCAAGTAGTGGTCAGAGTGTGGCTTTGATGGCAGCAGGTTGAGTAGCTGCAGGTGTGTTCACTCAGGTGATTGTACAGTCATCAGCACCTGCCTGTGTTCCCTGTCCACAGGCCACGCCCACCTGGGGAAAGGGTAGAGAGACAGAAAGGAGGGGGAGACTGCCACGATGTGGAAGGCATGACAACATCAGTGTGTTATTATTAACAAGAATAATGTAGTAGTGCAGACTATGGCTCCACTTGGGAATCCAGCGATGACACTAAGTCCCTGTTTGATTTGGGCTCATTGGTGATGGCTGTAAGGGAACTGGATGTAGGCTGGGGCCAGGGAATTTATGGCATCTAGCACTGTTGGCTTGATCCTGCTCAGTGGTGGCTGGGAAATGCTGCATATGTCTCCAACCTCATGCTGGAATGTGCCGGTGATCAAAATCCCCGGCTGCTTTCTATTTGTAGTTTCACTATTCTACCACTAGATTATGTGTGTACACCTGGTCAGAGTTGTGCGTATATTTACGCACAAACCTAAGTAGAAGTACAAGTTGATAAATTCCAAACTTTGCTTAGGAATGTTTGTACGCACACTCTACGCACAAATCTGTGCTTACGCACCGATGATAAATGAGGCCCCAGGTTGTTTGAATTCATTCATGCAGGAACTGTTTGTGCTTTGGGGAAATCTGCAGGTCAAATTCTAGAATTGCAAAAAAGAAGATCAAGGAGATGTATGAGTTCTTCATGTATAGTAGAATTTCTTTTATCAGTTTTTTGTGATTTTCTTAAAAACCATATGACGAGTTGCTTCCAAAAGTCATACCACATGATTCCCAAGCGAGCTGCATGCTTTGATGTAAACTTGATGTGGGTTTTCTTAAACTTGCGGAATGAGTTAGACACTGAATGTGAGCATAAACCTGAGGAATAGCAATAAGTGTGCCTCAGTGATTATGCATTTACACACTTAACAGAGTAATGGCATTTAATCAAAAAAATAAAAATTAAAATACATGATTGCATAAATATTGACCTCCCTTTAATGTTACTCACCTAATTCAACACAGGAGCAGCCAGTTGGTACAAAACATCCATCCATCCATCCATTTTCTATACACCGCTTAATCCTCACTAGGGTCGCGGGGGGCTGGAGCCTATCCCAGCCGACTTAGGGCGAAGGCAGGGGACACCCTGGACAGGTCGCCAATCTATCACAGGGCCA